CCCCCCCCCCCCCCCCGCCCCGCCAAAAAAAAAAAAAAGATCTGGGATACTAGACAGACGAGGAAGTCACTCACAGTAATCGGCCATTCGACTATCCAGATGAACCCCTTTGACGACCCCACCCACCCTTCCTCTCATCTTTTGCCCTGACACATCCCCACCGTCCTTGTCCTACCCTAGTGTTAACCACGTAGGAGCATCACTCATCACCATTTTGACAGGGTGACCTGACCAGGTTGACCTGAATCCATGTTTTTTTTTTTTTTTTTACATAAAGTCCATGGTGTTGTAGAGGCCAGTCACTGTGTACACATTGATCACCTGGAGCAGTAGGCCATGGGTGTCCTGGAATATGAGACCACATCCCATCCCATACTGCAGGTACTAGACTCTACCCAGTGACTAGACCCCCTAGTCTGATAGTTGTGTAGTTCGAAGTGTATGTGTATACCCAAAGGCTGTGTATGCTTTGTATATTTATGTATGAAGATGTACATACAACACTATGTGTGGAAACTTGTGCATGTAGCCCGTAGGCCATGTATAATTCGCAAGCTATGTATATGCCCGAAGGCTGTGTGTGCTTTGTGAATCAATGTATCGAGATGTATAGGCAGCATCATGTGTCTACATCGAAGAGAGAACGGGGTAAGCTGGACAAGGACCCCCCCAAGACCCGAGCCAAGCTCGAACCCGTGACCTTGAAACATGTAATCGTATGACTCTACCATGTGAATGGCTAATGGAAATGACACGAACGTGTGATATGCAAGACTGGGAAGATCAACAGAACACCCACGACCAACACCCTCAAGCAACTCATGTGAAACCCGGAACAACATACAACACCATGAACAACCCTTGGGTGGTGCGCAAGCAGTGTCTGTAAACCTCTATCATATGCTGAGCTGCCTTGGTACAAGCCGGGTTCACTACTGCGTGACACAATTTCGCCAACATGTCAGTCCGAGAGACAGAGTGACACGTATTAGCCAACCTTTCTTTTTTCCTCATCGAATGCATGACGGTATTTCATTCCACGGATGGACGCACTCGCCAATCATATGATTGAGGCACGTAGTAGCCCCAATCATGCGCTGATCTGCCCTGGTACGAGCACGGCTCACTACTACGTGACACAAATTTGCCAACATGTCATGCCGAGAGAGAGAGTGGCACGCACTAGCCAACCTTGCATTGACGACAACCAATAACATTTGCAGGCTGTGGGTGATGTTTGTCAACCACATCTTGTCATGTTTTTAGTGTGGGTAGTTGTATTTACGGTCACTGAGGCAAGTCACGGGTTGCAACGATCCTTGTCTTGTCATTGGTCTCCTATTTTTCTCTGCAAACTGTGATGTTTTCATACATCATGGTATTACACATTACATAGTCGCTCACGCTTGAATTAGACAATGATGAGCATTACAAGGGATTGTGCAATGTTGTATCATAAATAAGAGAGCATATGTTGTACAGTGATTGTCGAACTGTGGTTCATAGTCATCATCTCCGTTTCTCTCTCTCTCTCTCTCTCTCTCTCTCTCTCTCTCTCTCTCTCTCTCTCTCTCTCTCTCTCTCAAGCATGCAATGACAGTGATCTCCTGCAACTTTTGGTGGCATATTTCGTTATGAACCTTGTGACTCACACAATTGTGTTCCCCTCCCCTCCCCCGCCCACTGTTCAAGGCCTGACACACATACTTTCTATATCCCTCTCCTCGTCTCTTCTTCTCTCACGAGGTGGTGCAATGAACTCCAAGTCGAAATTGTCATCTGTTATCGTTATGTTATGTGGTCCGCTCCTGTGGATAGAGGGCAGGCCAGCTTGAAATAAGGCAACGGTCTTCTCAGAAACAGATGCAGCGCGGTCCAACTTGAAGATCGAAAAACTCATGACTGTGTCGCGACTGCGGACAGATGATGCGATGTCGTGCTTTATATATGTCAATTTTTGTATCTGGTCAGCCGCTCTACTGGTCTTTGCTGTCTGCTCGATTTCACATTTCATAACCATTTATGCAAAAGCCAGTTGCTGCAGTGTCACGCCAAGGTTCGTGCTGTCACTTCTCATGTGGAAAACCTTTGTGAGTGCCGTCTTGAACGTCTTGAACGCTGTTGCGCCCCAAGGATCGTTGCCGCTCCGTCTCCATGTTTTGTCGTCCTTCATCTTTGCTCGCATCTTGTTGCGAGTAGGGAACTGATGATCCGTTTGCTGTGATCGCACAAGCGGAATACTTTTTTCTGCCCAAAATCAATGCTTCAGTTGCCATGTTATCTCTCCACGCACTGTTGTCATCATTCTGTTGCACTCCCCTATCACCACTCGAATCCCGCTCTCCGCTACGTGTGATCGCAGTCCTTCCTCCGCATTCTCCCTTATTAGGTTTGTTGTTGTTTGCAGCGCCGTGAAAAATTCGTCCTCTGTTGGGTACAATGTTGCGTTCTTCGCTGCAGAAAACGCAAAGGCTTTTGCGACTGAACGAAACAGTCTGTCCTTCATTTTCTTTGTGAAAACGCCACTTTATTGGTCGGCTTGTCTCTGTCCTCCTCCGGTCGCGTGTGGTTTTCTTTGCAAATTCGTGCCATATGTTGGAAGACACACATTAAAACGCAAAAATGATATTAAAAACTCCAAATATCGCATCCAATTTCGTACCAGTGAAAATCGACAATTCAGTGAACAAAGCACAATAACTTCCTCGATCATAGATATGCCAACATATTTCGCCCTTATGACTGCGACTTTCTACAAGGGGAGCAACTCTAGCACACTTTGCTCACCTTCTTGAATTTCGTTGTCCTTCCTCACTAGTTGTCTGTCGTTCGGGGGCGTGTCGCATACGTCTCTCTCCTTGTTCTACAATCGTTCGCTTGTGCATCGCGTTCTTTCCACAGATGGTGAAATCTCTCTCTCCTCCGCGCCCCTCCCGTCTCCATCTGCCTCTTCGTCGTCCTCATCTTGCGGTGTGTCGTCGCTGTTCCTCTCTTCCTCGTCATCGGTCTCGTCAGCATCATGAGAATCTCCATCAAAAGTTTCACTGTCACTTCCCTCGTCGCTCATTGCCTCGTCTTCCTCTCCGTCCGTCTTTTCTGATATGGACTGCTCGTCTTCGTCTTCTGCTTCCTCTCCGACCGCGCTGTGCAAATCGTCCGAGCCTCTGAGATCGACCATCTCCACTATTTTGTCCTTTTTGTATGTGATTCTCTTCTTCGTCCTGTGGTATTGCTTCGGTGTTCTCTCTTCTCGCGACCTCTTCTCTCGCGCTTTTGGTGGACGGTTCTCAATGCCGCTCACTCGGTTCCTCCCGACGGGACTCCCGACGGGAGTTACTGGGGGTGTTTCGTTGCGTTCTTTCAGCTTCGAAATCTGTCTGTGTAGTGATTGAAGAGAAACAAGTGGTCCGTTTCTACGGTCGTGCGTCCGCTTCGTTTTGGCTTTCTCGCATCCGCTTCTGCGATGCTCTCTCCTGTCTTTTTTCTTATCAGCCTTGCATTTTTTCCTCCCCTTATTGTTATTTTCCACTACCTTCAAAGACTTGCACAGATCCTCATATTTTGGCTTTGGAGCCATAACCTTTTTTTCACCACATACATCAAATTAGATACAACAACAACTGCGTCAGCTATGTCGTGGGTCAGATCATACACCCCTGACCCTGGAATTGGCCAGAGAGAGAGAGAGAGAGAGACAGAGAGAGAGAGAGAGAGAGAGAGAGAGAGAGAGAGAGAGAGAGAGAGAGAGAAAGAGAGAGACCATTGTCTTATTATTGATACTGCGACGTCGTGTAAGTCACCAACCTCTTTGCTCGTTCTTGGAGTCTATCTGTATTGTCAGGCGGNAGAGAGAGACCATTGTCTTATTATTGATACTGCGACGTCGTGTAAGTCACCAACCTCTTTGCTCGTTCTTGGAGTCTATCTGTATTGTCAGGCGGCAAGAATTCGCATAAAAGGAAAACAAAATAAATAATAAAGGTCATCACCAACAAATCCTTGGAAGTTACCTCCCCGACTGGAGAGAGAGAGAGAGAGAGAGAGAGAGAGAGAGAGAGAGAGAGAGAGAGA